TCGGCTTGGGGCTTTGAGGTACCGAGGCAGGTGCACAGGTCTTCTTAGTTCGAATGGTTGGACAGCTTCTTTTGAAGGCAGAACGAATACCGTCAAACAAGGACTCTTCATCATCGTCCGAGGTGTTAACTCCCCTAATGGGAGCTTTTCTCCTTCCTTCGGCTAGTTTCCTAGCCCTGCTCCTGGTGACCATATGTGACGGTGATGAGGTTGTCTTTACTTTGGTTAATTTCGGGAACGACATTGAGACTGTGGAGCTGCTGGGGATGCTGAATCTACAAGGTTCAAGCTTTGAGTCATTCAAAGCTATTGACTCACCTTCAGAGTGAGTATAAAGAGCCGGCTCTCCACAATAAGGGGCCACATCCTCGAGGGCATTAAGCTTCAGCAACCTAGAGGTAGAAAAGCAATTTAATTAGTCAATCTTGTTTCTATCTCCATTTAATGATTGCTCCACTGGCGGTTCCTCACTGTCTTGGCATGTCTCCAGAATTCGGAATGAGTTATAAGAGGAGGGGATGAAAGGAGGGGCTATTGGGGAAAGTGAGTGGGGAGGTTCAGATTGAGTTCCTCTTACCCTAGAAGCCGTGAGTCCTGGAGCTATCTGTGTTAGTGTTTTCCCTGAAAGTGATCTCTCCCTGGCGGAAAAGGGTGTGTCAGTGTTAGCATTGTAAAATTCAGCATGTGAGAGAGGCCCAATGTCCATTGCAAGCAAACTTTTTGAGCAAGTGTCCTGGTAAAAAATCATAGGGTCATAACTACATAGCCTCGGGGGTTGGGGGTTTCACTTTCCCAACAGAGCAAGGATGTGGTTAAAGAGATATCCAGGTTGTATGGCGTGTGAACACTAGGGAGCCATTCTCCCCGACTGGTTGCGTATTCCCGGGATTCGTACTAATGTTCTGCTTCGTCGAGCTACTGCTACAAAAAGATTGAAGGTTGGAGATCAATTTCCTTAACAAAAGGTTGTTCTTACCTGTTGGCAATGAGATTGACTGAGTGCCCTCCATTCTGGATTCAGAGATACATATGAAATCAGATTCCCTACCCACTTTCAAAGTCCTCTTCTCAGTAATTCTAGAGAAAACCCAACATGGTTCAAAAGAGATTTTTAAGAGGCATTCCACCAACCAACTAAGTAAATCAGAGTCAAGCCAAATAATGCAATTTCTCTTTCCTTCAACAGAGACACAGTAAGTTTGATTGTAAAAGGAATGGAAGAGAGTAAAAGTGTCATGACCTAGGGTAAGAGACGCCTGAAGATTGGCCGTCTGCTGAGTATTCGAACGGTATATATATATATATATATATATATATATATATTAAGGATAAGCTTTATTGAAGTAAAAGGGAAAAAAACAAAGAGAGGTGGGGGTACATCAAAGGGAGGGGTTCACTAGGTCCTGTACGGGGTTTTTAAAAGTTGAGATGCCCAATCTAAAAATATCCAAAGAATACAAGAAGGTGGTATCCATTTTGTTTGCCCAACACCAGGCCTGAGCAATTTTATTTACTGTGATAATAATGACCTCCGTGGATGGTTTGGCATGATCGTAGAGGCATGAGTTGTAGTGCTTCCAAATGGACCAGCAAATGAAACCGGGGAGAAGAAACCTAAGGTTACCCTTAATGCTACTTTTGTTCGAAGAGAACCACCAACCAAGGAGGGCTTGTTGGACCGTAGGGTTCCCACGAATAGCTGGTGCATCTAACACCATGGAATAAGTTCTCCAAGCTGGGGAAACAACCCTGCAATTAAGGAAGATATGTTGCTCATCCCCCCCAACCTCCATGCAAAGGGGGCATTGAGATGGAGCTGTAACATGCATACGTTGCAGGTTGTTGGGGAGTGGGAGTAGATTATTGAGAAGTCGCCAAAGAAACATGCTGATCTTTCCAAGTTGTCTTTTGTCCCAAGTGTAAATGCAAGAGGTTTGCTTAGGCATGTGCTCAAAAGTGAGGTAATAGGCCGTTTTGAAGGAGTAAGAGCCCAAGAGCCATTCAACACCATTTGCATGAAGGTTACAGTGGGGGAGGACAAAGGGTGTCACTCTGCATATGGCCTTCCAAGTGTATGAGTCATACAGCTTAGGGGAGAATACCCCGTTTCTGAAGTATTTTTTCTTCATATACCTGCTCCATAAAGAGGAGCCTTGTACTACCTTCCACCATAGATGAATGAAAGATGCATCTTGACAGTGTGTCAAATTTCTCAGACCCAGCCCTCCCTCTTCAAATGGATAGCACAGTCTTTTCCAGCTTCGCCAATGATACTTATGCCCATCCTCCCTTGCTCCCCAAAAGAAATTTGCCATATATATATATATATATATATATATATAGGATTGACTCCAATGAGATGACACCTTATGGTGAGATGACATGCTTCGGTCAGATAAAGCGCATCACACTACACTACAAAGCTCGCCAATAGACAATGCAAAGCTCACCTTGAAATAAAGCAAAGCTTACCACTTTGAACATCAAAACTCACATTTTTTTAAAAATTTTGAAAATTAAAAAATTAATTAAAAATAAAATAGCAACACCGGTCAACCACCGGTCAACGGCGGTGGCAGGCGGCGGAGCAGCGGTGGCCGCTACGACAGCCGGAATCCGGCGACGGCGACCGGCGGTGGTTGCCGGAGTCCGGCTACGGTGACCGGCGGTGGTTGGAAAGCGGCGACGGCGACCGGCGGTGGCGGTCGGCGATCGGCGGCAGGCGGCGGTCAATGCTGGCGGTCAACGGTCAAAGTTTAGTCAGCACCCTTCCTTTGAATTTATTTTTACAAAAAAAATTTAAAGTGTTGAGAAAATATGGTGAGCTTTGTAGTTATCTTTGGTGAGTTTTGAAGTGGCTAGTGGTGAGCTTTGCGTCATCTAACCGAAGCATGTCATCTCACCATAGGGTGTCATCTCACTAGAGTGTATATATATATATATATATATATATATATATATATATATAGGTCGTTTGGTTTCCATTGTTTGGGGATACCACCGAACCCGACAGTGAGCATTCCATTGTTTGGTTTCTTGATGACCTTAAGCGAAGGTAAGTTTAATATTTTGAAAACCTATTTTTGAAATTTTGTATCTTAAACTAGGCCTAGCTTAAGGGTTGGTTAAGAGTACCTTAAACTAGAATGTAGTTTAACTATCTTAAACTAGAATTCATTTAAGAGTTGGTAAACATAAAATAGATTTGTCTTAAAATAAGAATAGTTTAAGGATATTGTTGAATGAGGATGTTGAATGTTGAATATAAATATTGAATGATGAATGTTGAATATTGATTATTGAATATTTGAACTGAATAATTTGTGCATGATATCAAATGATTTGATTATGGATTTGGATTTAATTTATATGGATGTTCGATGCATTAGATATGCTTATTCAGCTTTACCGTTGGGCATGTAGTATGTTTTATTTGCTACACGCAGGTTAATAGAAAAAAAGATTGGATGTGATAGTTTTGAATTAAAGAACATAAAAAAATTATGAATGTAATTAATTAAGTTTCCACAATATTGAAAACTTCGTACTGTATATGTTATAAAAAATATTATTGTGATACATAAAAGTGTTTGAAAAATTTTAAATTTTACGATTACCAAGTTAATATTAGTCCGAAAGGGGCTGCAGACCTGGACGGATTAGGGTGTTTACATGATTAGTATTATTGCTATTATTGTTATTATTTACATTTCTGTTCAGTTTTTTATTATTATTACTCTTATAATTGTTATTATTTTTATTATATTTTATTATTATTACTATTACTCTTAATACAATTACTATTATTATTAATTTCTATTATTATGATTATGACTATTATTATTATTATTATTACTATTATTATAATTATGGTAATAACAATTTTAATTTAAATTAATTATACCCCCTCCGTCCACCTAATATCTTTCCATTGCGCGTTACGTGGTTTGACCGACTTTATTTTCAATTCAATTTATTTTAAAATAATGGTAAAATTTTAATATAAAATCTATGTAGTAATAAACTACATAAAAAGTTCTACAAAAATAGAAGTAACAACATTATATTATTTTATGAAAATGAGTAGTAAAAAATTAACAAATAAAGTGGATTAAATTTGATCATGTGAATAATGTTTGAAAAGATATATAACGAACAGAGAGAATATATGATACAGAGTACGGAACATTATTTTTAATGAGATTAGATTATATGAGATCTGAATAGACCTGGCAAAACTGACCCGGACCCGATAACCCGAACCGAATAACCCGGAACCGAACCCGATTTGACCCGAAAACTGAAGAACCGAAATAGAACCGAACACCCGAAATGATCCGAACCGAACCCGAACCGAATGTATTCAGACCTGATTCAGACCCGAATTCGATTAAACCCGAACCGATTAAACCCGAACTCGGTTAAACCCGAACCCGGTTAAACCCGGAACCGATTAGACCCGAAACCGATTAGACCCGAAATTGATCAAATTCATTAATATTTCATTTATCAAATGAATTTGGAAAAAAGAATTACCTATATATTTTTACGTATGTTGATATGTTTCTAAAAAACATATTTTAATTATGAGTGCAAACCATGTAACTACTTTCATGTACAAATCTTTTATTTTGTACTCCGATACAAACCCGAACCGATACAAACCCGAACCGATACAAACCCGAACCGATACAGACCCGAACCGATACAGACCCGAACCGATACAAACCCGAACCGATACAAACCTGAACCGATACAAACCCGAACCGATACAGACCCGAACCGATATAAACCCGAACCGAAACCGAAAACCAGTCAAACCGAAATAAACCCGGAACTGAACTGACCCGACCCGAACCGACCCGAATCGATTATAACATACGGAGTATATCCGAAAGAGACCCGAACCGAAAAGACCCGACCCGGACCCGAACCGATTGTCAGGTCTAGATCTGAATATATCAGATCAGATTCAATAAACCTCAAATACATTAGATCCAATTAAATAAATAAGGCCACAACCGCTACACCAAAACCTCCACTCTCTCTCACTTGCGCCGCCGGTTTTGAGTAGTCGGCCACCCTAGAATTTGATAAGGATGACCACCACCAGGAAGATAAAAATGGACATAATCGAGGTACCATTTCTGCGTTTTTTTTCATTTCCGCTTCAGAACGACTTATCGTTCGGAAATTGGAAGTTATTTTACCCGATATCGTCATGTTTTTTTATAAACATTGTCTGCATCTCAGCATTGTTGTTGTTTAGGCAGTTGCTAAGCTTTGTGTCAAAACAGTTTAAGAAGACTTGATGTTTTTTTGTCAGTTAATATTTCTGTAAATCTGCAGTCGACTATATATGTTCTGGTTTGTGTTGAAAGGATGAGAGCAGAGATTGGCATTGCTATTTATTTCTACTCTATTTGTGTTGAAGGATGTGGTTATATAGTAGTAATAGAAAGGTGTGAGCTTGAAGCTGCTCCCCTTTTTCAGAAAAATTGTAACATATGCTGGAAATGGTTTTGCTTCAGATGTGTCATGATTTTTTTGTATTTGCAGATGGCTAGCAAAAATAAGGGAAGGAGGATTGTACCTTGTAGCTGTACGAGGAAAAAAAGGAAGCTTAATACTCCTTTCCCTAGCGATTTAATATTTAGCATCCTTCTCTGCCTTCCGGCAGACATTATTTATGGGGTGATGCAATATGTTTCCCGGGAGTGGTATAACATAGTCCGCAGCCCGTCATTTGTTTATTCCCACCTCAAAAAATCAACTCATGGTTTTCTACTTCAGGTCCCTTATAACGAACCCATTAGTTTTTTGGCAATGGGGAAGAAGGGCGATGAGGTTGAGCTAAGGGAGGTAGAATTTCCGTGCTTCGGTGATTTTGAATCCAGTTGTAATGGTTTACTAGTCATGGTTCATCCTGTTTGGATCGAACAGTTTTATGTCGCGAATCCTGTTTTAAATCAGCAGATTGCCCTCCCTCCATGTCCTAGCATAGATGGCATCAGAAGCTGCACTCTTGTGTATGCAGCTTCATCTGGAGTGTACAAAGTGGTGTATGGCAGTGGCACAGAAGCTGAGTATGTATTAACCGTGGGTGAAACGGCGTGGAGGCCCCTCCAGACCAGCCAATTAACTGCCAAACTTGTCTATCTCTTGCAATATCGCCCTTTATCTCTAGGGGGTTTTCTGTACTGGGCTTCAAACTCGGACCAGTTTGTCGTTATCTTGAATGTTGAAACAGAGACTTTTCACCAGATTCCTCTCCCACAGGGTTGCACGAATAGGTGGTCAATACAGATGTTTTCAATGGGGAGTTCTCCCTGCCTAATGTGGCAAAAAGAAGAATATGTGTGGGCACTATGGTTGCTGACCGATCAGGAAACTGGGACATGGGCAAAGATGCCGGATGTTAATTTACTGGGTCACTGTCTTGCAATCCAAGTCTGGCATCGCGGTCTGCAATCTCGTTTCACGCCTATAGGATGGCTGAAAGAGAGTGAGCTGATCGTGTTTAGGATATCGTCATGTGATCCAAGAATCGTAGTCTACAATGTCAGGTTGGAGAAGATTCATTGCACATTTCCAGTCATTCCCAGGAGAAATGCCAGCCTGTTCTGGGCTCCTCATGTCAATAGCTTGGTGTCTTTGCGCAACCTGTATGCCACTTGATGTGAGCCTAACTCAATGTTTTGTTCAAGAAATTGTTCCATTGTTCAAGTTTAAGATTGTTGGGTCTTAAAGACACACATTTATGATCACGATTCTCATCAAACGTGTTTGGTATGCATTGTTTGGCTTTGTATGTCATGGTCACTTTCACGCAAGTATCTCACGGACCGGGTGCAGATAGACATGTTGTGTAAACTAGGTAGCTCTTTCCAAATCAACTTTGATATGTTGGTGGTTTGGTGCCTTGATGAACAATAAGTGTTTTTTGTTATGTCTTCTTGATCATGTAAAAGTAAGATGGGTGTGTTTATGTAATCTATTGATGGATGCTCTTAAGACAGATTTCAATTATACAAACTGATCCATTTTTTTCCCCTGGTTTTCCATTGAGGCCTGCAAAGTCTGGTGCTAGATTTTCCAGATTTTTACCAAACATAGAGAAAGAGAGAGTGAGAGGGGAATATAACTTCTGGGCAAAAAATGTCATTTTTTCAAGTCTCTCTTCAGATTTCATTTTCTTGGTTTTCTAAGAGCATTGGCAGCGGCAAGGAGAAACCTTGCCACGCCCTGCCATTCGTGTAGATGGAAGCGCAGCAGCGGGCGAGGAAAAAAAGGGTCGCGAGGCATTCTGCGAGTCACTTCGCTTTGCGTGGCGGATGCGAGGCAAAATTGAAGCAGCAAAATACAATTACTCTCTTGGAAAATCATGGGTCGCTCTCTTCTCCGCGCTAGGCTTCTCCGACCCCTGGTTTCTTCTCTTCTCTGCGATAGTCTTTTCTGGCCATAATCCTTCACCTACAACCCACAGGTAACTCCACTCATCTCTAACTTTGATTGCTTTGCATTCCATCTCTCTACTAGATCTCTTTTAGTTCAAATGGATTGTTTTTAATTCATCAAAAAATCAAATATATGAATTCATGGTACTGCACACTAGGTGTTTGACAAAATGTCCAAATGTAGGTTATTGAGTTTTAGGACAAAAAAAATACTATTGTTGGAGAAATACAATCATTAGAGCACTGGTAATGGTCATGAAGCCCCGGGGCTTCAAACCGGGGCTTCAAACTTTCTCTCTCTGCCACGTCAGCTTTAACTTACACCCAAAATTCACTGGAAATGGTTTTGAAGCCCCGGGGCTTCAAACTGGGGCTTCAAACCTTCATTTTTTACATTTTTAAATATACATCTTCTAAATTTAAATTTATAAATTTAAATTAATTTATTATTTTAATTAATCGCAGTGACACTATTGCATAAAAAAAATTAAATTCATTATAAAAAAATCTTACATTCATAAAAAAACATTAAAAAAATTACATAAAAAAACAACAGTACAAAGAAATCACTAATTATTCGAACGACTAAAGATATGCTCGATCAAATCCGCCGTTAGTGCATTGTGAATCTCTCGGCTTCGAATTTCTTGGTGGTTGCGTTGCTTCTTTTCTTCGGTGATTTCTTCGTACATAGGCACCTCCTCGTCCGGGTTGTATTGACAAATCGCAGACCCGTTATCCTCTATGATCATATTATGAAGAATAATACATGCGTACATGATATTCCTCATTTTTGTCT